CACGAACTCACCTTCCCGCCTGGCAGTGATGGGCACACCTTTCCCAGGGATCTTAGCAGGGAATTGGCCCATGGAGAGGTTTAACTTTAACTCCATCCTTCCTTCGAGGAGGTTTTGTTTGCTACCAGCTCTGCAAAGAGAGAAGCGATTCCGATTCTTCGCTCTCCACGTCGATAAGAGAATGACACCAAAAGGCCGAGAGAAGAAATGCAGGCAGGGAATGTGCCTGAGATCCTTCGGGAAGGGAGCGGACTCCTGGAGCACCGCTCCGGGGTGGCTCTGCTGCCTCGGTGTGCATCCCACATTTTTATAGGGGGAAAATAGGGGTACATGATTGTAGAAAGTGAGGATCAGAATAATTTGCAGACTCCACAAACGACAACCTGAAAAAAAATAAATATATAAAATAATCTAATTCCTCAAAACCTGCTCATCCCAGGAAATTGGTTAAGTTAAAAAACGTGTTAAACCAAACACCTCAATACTGTTTTTATTAGAGAGCACAAATTCTCCTCGAAACAAGGGGAGGGGAGGGAAGGAAAGGGAAGGGATCAGTCAACAAATGTGATGTAGGTTGATATTCTGCAATCCCAAATAATAAGGGAAAAAAGGGAGGGGGGATTAACCCCAGTTTAAAGCCTGGCAAGGCCAGGTAGCTTTAAATGCAAAAGGGACCCAGGGTTGAGGTCTTTGCTGGATTCACTGTCACTTCATATCTCCAGGAAACGAAGCCATGGGAGCTCGGGTCCAAAAGCCGGAATAAAAACAAGGAAATTCAGAAGTTTGGGAAAAAAGTTATGATGATTAAATGTCATTTTTGGTGGGTTGGGGATGTCGAGGTGAAGGTGTTATGTTGTGCACCCAAATGCAGGTGTGGATTTCGGTTTGCTCCCAAATTTTCCTCCGTTGTCTGGTTCCATAGAGGACTGTTTCTCATACGCAGTTGAATCCTGAGGATGCAACACATGGACATTCCACCATCTGGTGGGAATTGTGGCAGCTCCAGAGGGCACAGCTGATGATGTTTGAAGTGGACATCCTTGGATTTGGGGCGAGGAGCTGCAGGGAGAACTTTGCTGCCTTTGGGGGAAAAATAAATGCCAAGTGACTGGAACAAAGGAGAGGACATTTTTCCTTGCAGGACCGTTTTTGCTGAGGATAAAAAGGTGGGATAATTCCCAACAGGAATTAGATAACTGCTCTGAAATGACACAAACTGGGTTGCTCATGTTAGAAATGTCTGGTTTTCAGGTCTGTGATATTTTAATTAATGCTTTATCAAGGAGGAGCAGCAAGATGGACACCTTTGACTCTTTGCAGGAGAGGATGTTTTTCCTTGTAGGGCCATTTTTATTGAGGATAAAAACGTGGGCTAATTCCCAACAGGAACTTCAGGAATTAGATAACTGCTCTGAAATGGCACAAACTGAGTTTCTTCTCTTAAAAATGTCTGGTTTTGAGGTCTAGGATATTTTAATCAATGTTTTTTTCAAGGAGGAGAAGCAAGATGGACACCTTTGACTCTTTGCAGTTCTGTGGGAGGCCCCTGACCTTGTCCAGCTCTGGATTTGCTCTATTCCTGGATTTTGGATGTGGAAAAGTGCGTGGGGATCATTCATGGAAACCCTCCTGCCCTTTTCTCACCACTTAAAAACAAGCTAAAAGTCTCTCTAATCATCAAGGCACGTCCTTAATGGAAATCTGTGACACCAGCAGAGCAGTGGGAACACTCAAAGTGCTGGAAATGGCCAAGAGAACGGGGAAAAAAAAGGAAAAAACTCAACAAGAACAACCCCAAAATGTCCCATATGACAGGGAATCATAAATTTAATTCAATCCTCAAAGTGCAACCAGCACTTGAGACAGAGGGTGAGTTCCCCCTGCACGATAATAAATCAGGATCACTCACTGGAGGTGCTTTGTTATAAAGCAGTCCTGGTGGGTTTTTTTCCTGGAATTAATGCCTTCAAAAATCCTGGCTAAAGATTAACCGGCTGCCTTTAATTTCATTAAGGGGAAGCAAAAAAATTGGGTGATTTAAGGTGAGGATTTCATCAAATTCTGAATTTTTTTGGATAATTTTTAATATTTTTAATCAATTGTCGGTCAATTTTCATTCTTTTCAGGGTCTTCTCAATTTTGGGTGATTTTCAGGCTTTTTGTGTTCATTTTCTTGTCCCTTTTGACAATTTTTTGGTGATTTTTCATTATTTTCATGGAAATTTTATTTTTGATCAATTATTTTTTAATGTTGGGGCTATTTCTACTATTTCATCTCTTCTGGAGTTTTTTTGCTATTTTTAACACTTTCCATCAGTTTCCTATGACTTTTGTGGCTTTTGGGTTCTTTTTCTTACTTTTTATATTTTCTTGTAATTTTAATTTGCCTTTTTTTAAATCCTTTTTGGTAATTTTACCAATTCTCCCTAATTTGAGGTGGTTTTTTTAGTCCTTTTTAGTATTTCTAAAATTTATAAATTTTTATATATTATATATATTGTAATTTTATGTATTTCATAATTTATATATTCTATGGTTTATATATATTATAATTTATATATATATTATAATTTATATATATATTATAATTTTATATATTTTTAACCAATTCTGCCCATTTTCCTTCCATTAACCCCATTTATTTTTGCTCCTTTTTCACTGTACAGATGACAAATTCCAAATGGACCTTTATTTGAACTGATCCTCCTGGGATCCACTGTTACCTGGGATCTCAATCCTCTGACAAGGATTTCTCCCACTATTCCCAGGATATGAAGGATTCAGCTGCACAAACTTCCTAAGGAAAATTGGGCCAGAGTTTCCATCTCTTCACCCTCTCCTTGATGCACAGAAAGGGTGGAAAAAAGTGTTTAAAAAAAAAAAAAAAAAAGGATTTTGCCATATTTAAATTTCTAATTCATTCCCAAAGCTTTCTCCAGGTATGTGAGAAATGATTGTGCACTCAGCCCTCCTGAAATAATTAAAAGGTCTTCAATTTGCTGTCATATGCTTTAATTACTTTCTAAAAATCTATTGAACCAGCCATCAAAGGCAGATTATATTGCTGAGATGGGTCATTATTTTAACAACAAACCAATGCCTGGGCAGTGGGAGGAATGCAGGAAAATGGGATCTGAGCACAGCTGAGATGAATCCAAATCTTCCCTACTGCAGCATTATCTGGATTTCCGAAGCAAAAAAAATGAAGAACAAAAGGAATTATACCTGGAAAACAATCATTTGCACACATTCCGCCTCTGGATCTCTGGCAGTGTTAGTGCAGGCAGAGCAATGCTGCCAATTAATCACAAGCTCTTTCCTAATTAATGAACTTTAAAAGCTAAAATAATTTTTTGGAGACAGAAAAAGAGATGCAGGGGCAGGAACCTATAAAATAAATGGGCTTGGAGCCAAGGAATTGTTATTTATCAGCCTCAAATCCCTGTGTTCCGTGGGCATATATAAATTTATAGTGACAATGGATCTTGCACAGCGAGACTCAACATTATTTTGGGTTGAAATTTGGGTTCAGGCTGAAATAGGGGAAATTTAGGTTGGATATAGGGAAGAAATTCCTCCCTGTGAGGGTGGTGAGGTTGTCCAAGGAATTTGTGGCTGCCCTTGGATCCTTGGAAGTGTCCAAGGCCAGATTGGATGGGGCTCTGAGCAACATAATTCCCCAAATATTGAATCCATACTCAGGCCAGGTGATATCCAGCTGATTTGCTTTCCAGAATAATCAAAGCGTGTCCAGCTGAAATATAAGCAGGAAGCTCAAATAAGAAATTTATTTTATTCTATTTATTTTATTTTATTTATTTTATTTATTTTATTTTATTTGTTTTATCTTATTTTATTTTATTTATTTTATTTATTTTATTTTATTTATTTTATTGTATTTATTTTGTTTATTTTATTTACTTTATTTTATTTATTTTATTTTATTTTATTTATTTTATTTTATCTTACCCAAAGTAAAAGTGCTCATCCTCCTGTCACAACACAACGACGTGGAAACATTCCCTCCACTGGAACAAGGATAGGGAAGAAAGATGAATTCAGCAAAAAAGAACAGAATACAAGAGATTTGAAGTCCATCTCCAGTCCCTGTCTCTTTGAGGTGCCTGTTGAAAGGGCAGTTTTCCCTTTGTTCCTCACCAGGATAAAGGAAGGTGGAGAAACAACGGGAAAAGAGGAATTCCAGGCTTGAAACTCTGCCCCTCAACTTGGCTGCAGCTCTGAGACTCGAGGCTTCCTCAGCAATTCTGCAGGATTAAAGAGAGGCAATCAGAGGGTAACTTTGGAAGAAAGGAATCAGTGAAGGGTCTGGAACACCCTGGGGAATTTTGATGACCTTCCCGGGAGGAATTTCCAGCATCCTGCAGGAAATGTTCCATCCAAACCATCCCTGGTCAGATGTAAGACACCTAAAATCTGAATCTGCCAACAAAAGACTGGTGTCAGCGAGTCCCAAGGCTGCTGGAAGTGGGCCTGACCTCCATGTCTCAGCTTTGGAGTCAGGGAGGTCTCCTGAGGTCTCCTGGGATCTCCTGAGGTGTCCTCTTAGGCACTTCCAAGAGCTCGTGTTCCCAGGCAGAGCTGCCAGGAGAGAAGCTCTCCTACATCAGGATTTGTTCTCCCTCCTCATTCCAAGGAGGGGACACACCGTGGCATCCAACTTCAGACCTCCTGGAGGGGTGGGGGTTGAGGGTGGAAAGTTCAGCCAAAGCTTTGCCAACCAGCTTGTCCCACTTCCAAGCAGAGCAAAGAGGGGCCAGCTGGTCTGGTGCTGCCTTTCCTGTGCTCCTGGACCAAGGAGGAGGTGTCATCCCAGCAACATCCACCAGCGTTTTCCAAGTCCACTGGCTGTGCTACCTGTGTGGGAGTCATGGAACCATGGAATGGGTTGGGTTGGAAGGGACCTTAAAACTCATCCAGTTCATCCAGGTCAGAGACACCTTCCACTAGCCCAGGTTGCTCCGAGCCCTGTCCAACTTGACCTTGAGCACTTCCAAGGATCAGGAATCCAAGGGAAAAGCTGGTGGTTGAAAAAGCTGTGGAAAGTCTGTTCTTCATCTTGGTGGATTGTCACAGGTCCGTGGTGATGGCAGAGGGGTGAGAGGGGCAAGTCCATGCTTGGACAGGGGATGCTGGAGGGTGGTGAGAGCCACCAGGGAGGTTGTGGATTCCTCATCCCTGGAAGTACTCAAGGTCGAGTTGGACAGGGCTCAGAGCAGCCTGGGCTAGTGGGAGGTGTCCCTGACCTGGATGAGTTGGATGAGCTTTAAGGTCCCTCCCAACCCAACCCATTCCATGGTTCCATGGCTTGCACACACAGGTGGCACAGCCAGTGGACTTGCACCTCCTAAAACAGCTCTCCCAAGGAAGGAGACGCTCCAAACATCCAAGACAAGTGGAAGGATTGACACCTAGTCGAACAATTCCTTGGAAGATGAGCCCTGTCAAGCAGGCCCAGGGAGCAGAGAGAGCAGAAATAGGAAAACAGGCATTTAGGATGCAGAAAATGTCATTTCATAGCGGAAGAGGTTTAATCTCAGCAGTGAAAGAAAGTTAATCTCGGTGAGGAGATCAGTGTGTGGGGCACAGACTGTCCCGTGGCAAAACAATTCCATGAAGTTTGTGCACTCAAGGACACAAAACACGTCTCCAGGATGTGTTCACAATTTGAATGGGTCTGAAAAGAGACACTTGGAGAAGAATCCCTTTCTCCTTCCCAGGAGAACCTCAGAATACACTTTGGAGAGCCACTGTGGGCGCGTTTTGTGGATCAGTCACAGAATTCCAGAATGGTTTGGGCTAGGAGGGATTTTAAAGATCATTCATTTCCACCCCCCTGCCATGGGCAGGGACACCTTCCACTAGCCCAGGTTGCTCCGAGCCCCATCCAACCTGGCCTTGGACACTTCCAGGGATCCAGGGGCAGCCACAGCTTCTCTGGGCAACCCCTGCCAGTGCCAAATGGCACTAAAACATCTGGTCATTATTTGGGCATAATGTTCTCCGTGCAAGCCCAGAAAGTAGTTTCTAAACTGTTTTCCTTTCTTCTTGTCCTGCCATTCCTCTGTCTTACCTACACCCCTGACACTTCAGCTTCCCTCCCTTTAGGTAAAACCCCTGAGAATTAGACCCTTTCCTCCTCTCACCTTGTTACTTTGTGCTCAGAGCTCCTTGCAGGGCCTTTTTTTCCCCCTTCTGGGATACTCCTGGTAACCACCACAAACTTCTCCCGGCAACAACGTGCCGAATTCAAGGCACATTTGGGTGGGAAAAGCAGCACAACAAAACACAGGGCGCTGTTCCTGCATTGAACTAAGCTCAGGAAAGACAAGTGTGAGCCCTGAGCAGGCAAATCTCCTCCTGGCTTGGGAGGGCTGTGGTCGGGAAGCGTTTCCATCCATTAAGTTTTGCAATCAGCCCCACGTAAAAACACCCCCCCCAAGCTTGTGGTCAGTGGTTGTGTGCAGACTCTGTCATTTGGCTGAGCTGACCACACATTCCCATTGATCAATCCCAAATTGGATTATTGTTGGGTTTAAAAGCGCCTCAACAGCAGAAAGTGGCGGGGGAGGCCGGCGGAGCAGAGATGGATCGGGGAATAACCAGGCCAAGTGACAGGATTTCAGACTGAATTGATCACTGTCAGCGAGTTAGTGGTCAGCTGTCTGACCTTCGGGGCCCAAAGCAAACATCAGAATAATGTTTAGACAAACACATTTGATTTTTGAGGTAATGGGTATGTCAACCAAATGACAAACCTTGGAAAGGTCAAAGGGAAAAGCCATTTTTCAGGCTTTTCTCGGGCATTAATCGTTCGTTCGGGGAGCGGCAGCTTCTGGAGCCGGACGGGGAGAACTTCACTCCCTGTGAATGGGGGCACCACGGGCAGTGGTGCCACCACACCCAGCCTGGCACAGGCACCTGCCACTCCCAGCTGCATTTTGGTGCCTAAACAGCCTCCAGCCCCACCTCATCTCCGCTTTTTGCTGGAATGGGTTTTCCAGAGGAACCGGGGCTTGGGTGAAAACTCTTTTACAGAGCAGCTTTAAAAACTGGGCTCTGAAATGTTTTCCAACCTGCAGAGCAAAGGAGAGATGTTGCAAAGCACCAGGGAAGTCACAGGAAACACAATTAAATATTTGAGGAATGTAAACTTCCCTGGGAAGGAGGTGTTCAGCTCCATATTGACATTTACTGGGGGGGAAAACCTCTCGGTAAAGATATTCACAAGCTGATGTTTTGATCCTCTTGTTCTTCCCTGGGAGGGTGGTGAGGGGCTGGGATAGAATTCCCAGAGAAAATGTGGCTGCCCCTGGATCCCTGGAAGTGTCCAAGGCCAGGTTGGAGCAACATGGGCTAGTGGAAGGTGTCCCTGCCCATGGCAGGGGGCTGGAAATGAATGATCTTTAAGGTCCCTCCCAACCCAAACCATTCTGGGATTCTAAATATCCCAATATGATCTCTCCAAAATTACCCCATTATTTTAATTTTTCAACTGGATCTAATGAGTGGACGACTTCCAAAAAAAAATGAATGCAGGCCCTCCATACTCCCTGTGCATCCTAAATGCTGTAAATAGATAAGAAATATTGAAATCCCTGGGATAATGGCAGAAATTTGATGCAGGGAGACACCCTAAAGGTCAAATTATGAGTGTGGGACTCCCCTTGACTATGCAACAGCCACAAGGTCTGTGACAGCAGCACATCAGGCCTTGGAGTTTCTTCAGGATTTCTGGCAGGATCCATAAAATTTCCTGATTCACTGGGATGCCTGTAGTGTGGTGATATTGGAATTTAGGAGATTTGGGGTTTCCCATCACCTTATAGTGGGAATTATTGTCCTTGTGCTGCACAAACATTCCCAAAAGTTAAATATTGAGGTGTAAAGAAGGAGAGTGTGAAACTTGGCCTCGTCAAAGTGAGGCACAGGAGATTGGGAATATCAGGGAACGATTTTCCTTTGGGGAATGAGGGCTGGCACAGGAGGCAGAGGGAAGCTGGGGAGACTCCATCCTTGGGGATGCTCAAAATCCATCTAGGAATCTGAATCTTGAGCAGCGGGGTTGGACCAGGTGACCTCCAGGGTTCCCTTCCAACAACATCAGCCTTTCATTCCGTACCTGGAATTTCTGTGAACTCCACTCAAGGGCTGGAAATGCCCCCTAAACCTTCTACCAATCCAATGGCAGGGAACAAGGATCAAAACCTGGCCTCTGTAGGAGGATTGTCATGGAAACATGGGGTTGTCATGGAAACAACTGACTCCACCCTGGTCAACAGAGCCATTCCCATCACCACACGCTGGGCATCAGCAGGAAAATCTCACCATCATCACCCCAAACCCCTCTGGATCTGGAATTCCCAGCAACAATCTGCTGTTGTTTGAGCTCCAACTGGCACTGGGACTTTCCAGGCCAGGATTTGACTGATCCTTGTCCCTCCCAGCAGCCTTTGGAAAGGTCCTTGCAGATACATCGATTATCCCCACTTGTGTGGAGCTGCTGCTGTGTAGCAAAGCACGGTGTAAAATGAGGAAAAATATTGATTTGGAGAAAGTTAATATTATTAAAAGGCAGTTGTATTAATCTCCTCCCTTGAATTTTAGCTGGGGGTTTTCCCTCTTGGAAAATCAATGAAACTAATAGTCTTGTTAGAGCAGTACCACTTGTTAGACTATTTTTTCACTGCAACCCTTTTAAGTTCTGTTAAAGAGCAGAAGAGCTGAGAGGCTGTAAACTTATTGACTGGGACTTGGAGGGCTTGGGTGGCTGAAGGCTTTATGTTCATCATCTTTTTGTCACTTTATGTGGCAGAGAAAAATGTCAGTGAAACAGGATTTGAACTGGGTCTGGTTTCTGTTTGCACCACCAAAAAATACCATGTGCTATTCGAGGCAAAAATCTCATCATCCCAATTTGCTTCAGTGACGGTAAATCAGATTTGGGGAAGAACTTGAGCATCTCTCAAAAATATTCAACCAATAAATACACAAATAAACTTCTGGGATAACACTGGAATAACTGACAAGCAGATGCTTAATATTTCTCTTTATAAATTCAGTTTCCTCTCTTGAAAATGGCTGATTTTAGCCCTATAATTCTTGTTGGGCATAAAGGAACAGCTCATTTTACTTTCTCGCCATTGAGTCCCTGACAGGATCCAATGCCAAACTGGCAAGGCCAAAGCCAGGCACAGTTTCAGCTGGAAATCAAAATCCAATAAGCCAAAAAAAACCCCCAGTTTGCTCAGGAGAAGCTCATCATGACCAATTCCTTTCTTGACCCCAACACAGAACCCGCTTTCTTAACCAAAAACACCTTCAGCTCATCTTTGCATCTGGGTTTTCCTGCACCTGTTTTTAGCCAAAACATTTACATGGACAAGAGATGAAATTCGTGCTAAAAGTCACCTGTAATTCCACCCGACATCATGGAGGAGCTTTCCCAACAGGATTTTGGCTGCCCAAGCCCTGGGAAAGGCTGTTCCCCCGTGGTTTTTCCTTGTCAGTGAAACCACAGTTCCCTCCTCTTTCCTCCTTCTCTCCTGCCTCAACTGAAAATTGGGGCAGGAACTGCAAAAGTTATCCTTGTTTTTATATTTTGGGGGAGTTTTCCCTTGGAACCAATGGAAAAATTCACCACGAACAGCTGTGAAAGCCCCCAAAATAAACCAAAATTGTGGGATCTGCCACATCCTCAGCCTCACACCCTCTGTTTTAAAGGAGTGTCTTGGAAAAATCCTCTGGCTTTTCTTCCACTGGGAGGGTTATTTTGAGGATGAAATCTTCGTTTACCTCATTTATTTTATGGATCTCCGTATGTTTTTCAGGTGGTTTTACCTCATGATGGGGGAAAAAAAAGGATGTGACAACACCCAGATCCCCACATGAGCCAAGATTCCCACCCTGGGCCAGCAAAATTCTTGTTACGAAAACCTGATAAATCCCTCCAGGGTTGTTATTTTTATTTTTTTATATATATATTTTTTAACCGATTTCTA